GTGCGTCTGGCGACGAGCAAGGTGGCCGGCAAGGAGGGCGAGATTCCGAGCACCAAGGGCACGTTGAGTGCGTAGAGCACGACACAAAGTACGGTGGGCGGCTGGGGTGTATACATATATTGTCATAGAATCAAAAGCGAGCCAAAATAGAAGAAAACAACACCAACAGAGAGTATAACCCTAACTGCAACTTGAACTGCAACTCTGACTGAAAAAGCAAGTCAAAGTGCAGAGAACGGAGATGTCTCGGCTTGGTGAGAAGGCGAGTCAGTGTGAATGCATCGACAGCTGGTCAACGGCTGGACAAAAAATTACATGACAACTCTCATCATACAAGACTCCGAAAGTAATTTTCAATTGTCACGAAGAACAAAACCCAGTTGAACACTTTTGATGTTGTGTGTCCGTTGTTCTCTGAAAGGCTGTCCGTATTATAAACTGCAAAACCCGTAATACTATAAGCCCCGCTATGACGCAGACCGCCAACCGTTCGTTAGCGGTCCCTGTCCAGCGGCCTCGCATCGGCATTCACACACCTGAAAAGCAAAGCCCGGCACACGCGACCATCAGGCCACTCGCAAAGGCTGCGACGAAAGAGCTGTGCGACACGTTTGAAGCTTACCAAGCCGTCGCATATGTGCATCCCACCATGCGCACGTCCATGAACGACGACGAGGCGAACGCCGCCGGCTGGGAGGCCGTCCGCGGCGCCGTCTACGGCGCAACAAAATACGGCGTGGCCATGGCCTTGTTGGGAGGCATTGGCCAGGCCATGTCACCCATCTACCGGGGACTGACGATCCAGTTCAAAGTGTATGTGGCCGTCTCCACGAACGGCAGCCTCTTTCGTCTTCTTCTTCGTGTCCACTAACTGGCCAGATACATACAAATGTCCGGCATGGTGCTCGGCAGCATGCTCGAGGCCGACAGTCGACTCCGAATGTACGAAGCCAATGTGCGGCACCAGCGACGGATTGCACGGCACAATGCTCGATTGCGGGCGCTGGAAGAGGAGGACGACGAGAAGTAGCGGCAGTGGGGGACTGGAGAGAAGCAGAGATGCCTGGAACTTGGAAAGATGGCGCAGCCGAGGCCACACAAACAAATCCATCCACATCACGTCACACCCCGACACAACTGTACAAATACCATCTCATTTTGTTCGTTCTCGCATTCATGATGTACATAGGCACAAAGGAAGGCTAGCCGGTTACCAGTTTGGAAGACAATCGCAAAATAAAAAAAAGTACAACGGATAAACAAGTCCCGCCTAGATGCCGTGAAACGCCGCCATGCTGGTCAATCGCCCCGTCCCTTTTCTTCCCCATGCTCATTTCCCTTCCACCGTTCCATCGTTCCCTACGGCTTCGGCGGGAACAGCTTCGGGTCCATGTTGAGCTTGCACAGCCGCGCCAGGCACCCGCTCAGCTGCAGCAGCGTCTGCACGCCCTCCAGGATCTTCATGTGCGTAAAGCCAATCTCCCGGATGAACTCGAGCTTGGCGTGCTCGCTGAGCCCGGGCATCGTCTTGGTCACCTTGAACATGGTGCTGATGATGTCGTGGCTCGAGTAGCCCAGGTCCCACAGCTCCCGCAGCGTGTCCAGCGCGGCGTCCACGTTGCCCTCGTGGCACGCCTTGAGCATCGCCTGCACCTTGATCGGGTGCGGCGCGTCCACCACGCGGAAGACGTTGTCGCCGCTGACAAAGCCAAAGCCCGTGTGCGTCGACTGCAGGTTGTTGATGGCCTGCCGCATGTCGCCCTCGGCGCTGAACACGAGCGCCGCCAGGCCGTCGTCGCTGTACCGCACGTTCTCGGCCTCGATGATTTGCAGGAGCCGCTTGACGACCTGCGCGTCCGTCAGCCGCGCGTACCGCAGGATCGCGCACCGCGACTGCAGCGGCTCAATGATCTTGTTGGACTGGTTGCACGCAAAGGCAAACCGCGTCGTGTTCGAGTAGATCTCCATCGTCCGGCGCAGCGCCTGCTGCGCGCCCGACGTCATGCTGTCGGCCTCGTCCAGGATCACGAGCTTGTGCCGCCCGGCCGGCAGCGTGACCTTCTTCTGCGCGAAGCCCTTGATGCGGTTGCGCACGACGTCGATGCCGCGCTCGTCGCTGGCGTTGAGCTCCAGCACCGCCTCCTTGTACGCGTCGCCCAGCAGCTGGCGCGCGAGACACAGCACACTGGTCGTCTTGCCGATGCCGGGCATGCCCGAAATGATAATGTGAGGCATGTTGCCGTCCTTGGCGATGATCTTGAGGCGTTCAATGGTCTCGGTGTTGCCGACGATGTCGTCGAGGAAGACCGGCCGGTATTTCTCGACCCTGGAGCAGTTAGCGGCATGGAACGAGACCTGCGTCGAGACGTCGAGAAAACCCAGATCCACAACCCAACTCACCATGGCAGCTCGTAGTTGGGCGTGCCGTTGGCTGCCGAGGCGAGCGCCTTTTTGGCTGCCGAAGTCGAGGACTCGCCCGGCGTCTCGGGCAGAGGGGCCGCAGCAACAGGCATTGTGTTCGCAGGTATGGAAAAAGGGCGAAAATAACGCCAAAGAAATCGTGTCGCAACGTGGATGCTCGCTATGTCGCCCGAAATGCAAAAGTGGTGTGAGGGCTGTCGTCGTTGTCGTGAGGCGCTGCCATTGACTAGCAATCTGACGAAAAGGCACTTTACGCGACCAGACGCGCTTGCCTGACACGTGCCCTGGAAATTGAGCTCCTGCCCTACAACGCCAAAAGACGCCAAAGCGCGTGGAAGCATTACATAAGCCATTTTGGTGGGTTGGCCCAAGAGAACAAAGAAGGGCCGGACCTTCCAAAAACCATGTGCTTTACTGCGTCATAATGCCCCACATCACCAAAGCTTCAGCATAGAAAAAGCCTCTTATCAAAGATCTTTTCTTTGGACAGTTCAATCGAACGCAGAGGTAACCTACGGCTCTTCAACACGAACCGGTCGCATCGTATCATTTTGGATGGCCTGCGCCGCTGTCCCGGTGCCATAACACCACGCGAGGACTACGTTTCCACGTGACCCGCCCAGGCCGAAACGCCTTGCATAAGCAACCGAGAAAGGAAGGACCGACTCGGCAGGGAGTGCCGGGAGCACAACGTCCCCGCAGAAGCCTCGTTTCTTTCTCCTTTTTCCTTTCTTCCTCCTTTCTCCTTTCTCCTCCCTCACCGCTTTCTCCTCCCTCACCGCTTTCTCCTCCCTCACCGGCACTCTCACTGCCACCATCCACGAACCCAGGCACCCTCGCAGATTTCATCATGCCGGACCTGAGCAAGCACATTACCTTCGAGGACGGGCCCGACGGCCACGACCTCCATGACGGCCAGTCAAGCGCCAGCGACGAAGACCACAATGCAGTCGAAGTCGTCTTTGATCCGTCCAACCCCTACCGCCGCAAGAGCTCCCTCGTTAGTTCCGAGGCCGTGCCACCACGGCTGCGAAAGAACCTGCCGCCGGCGTCATCCACTGACAAGGCGCAGTGCATCGTGCACCACCTGATCGAGGCCCAGCGGGATGTGGGCAACAGTGGCAACAGTGGCGGCGGCGGCAGGCACCACATATCGCTACCGCATCTGCACAAACATCCACACCGCGCATTCAACACCCACGACCAGAGGGACGTCATCGACGACGTGGACGAGGAAGACTATGCTGACGAAGAGCCGCATCAGAGGGCCAAGAATGGCGGCGTGCACCATAGCATCGATGTGTCCAAGTCAGTAGCTGCCACAACAGGAACGGCCGCTGTCCCAGCAAGCGACCCGAGCGGGCACGGCGTGTTTGATGCCTCGGCTGAGCGGGGACTGGACCGGGTGGTTGAGCCCAAGGGCAGCGGTGGAGGACATGGCGGCGTGGACGGCATCAGCAGCAGCAACAACAGCAGCCGCGACGACATTGAGGCCCTCGAGCACCCACTGCCCCGAGGTCGCCGGCATACAATTGTCGAGCCTGTGACCAGCGACAGCGAAGCCGGCCAGGTCGACGAGCACGAGTGGGCGAGCGGCATCACGCACCTGCCCCTGGACACGGCCGACGCGATGGATGACACAGACCGCGAGCCGCCACGACAGCAGCAGCAGCAGCAGCAGCAACGGACACAGACACCGACACCAAAGCCGCAGCAGACGCCCACATCCGCGCCCCGCCTCGTAACCAAAAACACCCAAAAGTCACAAAAGTCCATTGAGCTTGGTTCGCCCATTGGCGGCAGCCCGCTGGACCGCGTTATGTCCGACGGGTCCCGGGGGGCCCCGACAGCATCAACACCGGTGACATTCTGCATAGCCGCCTTCTGACCAAGAAGCAGCTGAGCGAGATGGCCTGGGGCGTGCGCGAGCTGAGTCGGCGCCTGGGTAGCCTGCGCCTGCGGTTCCGGGTCAAGACCATTTTCCTGTTGACCAAGATTTACGACGAAGACCTGCTGCCCAAGACACGCGACCTGACCCTTTGGTTGATGTCACCGGAGCGCGAGATCCGCTACACCGTGTACGTGGAGCGGTCCCTGCGGGGCAACAAGCTCTTTGACGTGCCCGGTTTGCTGCGAGAGGTGCACGGCCTGTACGTGGCAGCCGCTGGCGAGGGCGGTGCGGCAGCAGCAGCGGCAGCCGGCAACGGACCCGACGACATTGCACGGAGGCTGCGCTTCTGGGACGAGGGCATGTGCCGCGTGCGCCCGCACACCTTTGACTTTGTCATCACGCTGGGCGGCGACGGCACGGTGCTGTACGCGAGCTGGCTGTTCCAGCGCATCGTGCCGCCCGTGCTGAGCTTCTCGCTCGGCAGCCTCGGGTTCCTCACCAAGTTTGACTTTGAAGACTACCAGAGCACGCTGACGCGGGCCTTTGCGCAGGGCGTGATCGTCGGCCTGCGGCTGCGCTTCGAGGCCACCATTATGCGCAGCAGCCCGCTTGGGCCCAGCGCGCACCCCGGACGAATCGCGGGCGGGAATTTGTCTGGGGAGAGCGCCAAGGCGCTGGGCGAGGAGCGCTCCTCGCCGCCGGGTGAGCCCGACGCGGCTGCTACGAGTGGGGACGATGAAGCGCAGCGCCGCCAGCGGCGGCGCGACCTGGTCGAGGAGCTCATTGGCGAGGAGAAGGACGACGAGCACACGCACCGTCCGGACGGCACCTACGAGATCCTAAACGAAATCGTCGTCGACCGCGGGCCCAACCCGACCATGTCCTACACGGAAATCTTTGGCGACGACGAGCACTTCACCTCCGTGCTCGCCGACGGCATCTGCGTGTCCACGCCGACCGGATCGACCGCCTACAACCTGGCGGCCGGCGGCTCGCTGTGCCACCCCGAGAACCCCGTGATGCTCGTCACGTCCATTTGCGCGCACACGCTGTCGTTCCGCCCCATTATCCTGCCGGACACGATTGTGCTGCGCGTGGGCGTGCCGTACGACGCGCGCACCAGCTCGTGGGCCAGCTTCGACGGCCGCGAGCGCGTCGAGATGAAGCCGGGCGACTATGTCACCATCAGCGCCAGCCGGTTCCCCTTTGCGTCGGTGCAGGCGCCCGGGCGGCGCAGCGAGGACTGGGTCAACAGCATCAGCGGGAAGCTGGGCTGGAACACGCGGCAAAAGCAAAAGGCCTACAAGGAGTGGGACAAATGAAGGCGTGGGGTGGGTTTGTAAAGTTTGCATGTTCTTGGCGTTTGTGTAATACTTTTGTCATTTGCCTGTTTCCATGTCTTCTCTTCTTTTTCTCTTCTTTTTCGGTGGTTTTATTTTTCTTCTTTTCTTACTTCCATTTCTGGGCGACATATTTGCATTATGGCGGTATAATCACAAACATGTTTTACAATGCTGGGCGGTTTTGATTTTTCTTGGATTCGCACAGTGTACGTCGCCCACACGCTGCATTAATCGTCCGAGATCTGCCAAGTACCGCCCAGACCTCGGATCAGACAGCACAAGTCTGAACCCGTTTCTTTCATGTTATGGGCGGTGAAAATGGGCTCTGTGGATATTCCCTTGTTCGAATTGCTAACGACTTCAATTTCTAGAACCCGTCCAATCCATACTCCATTGGCCCTTGTTTCATTCTATCGGAATAATCCGAGACTGTTATAAGCAAGAAGCAGAAACAAAAAAAAAAATACAAAACAAACCACAAACGCAAACGAAAACGCGAGCACATGACACACAATTAACGCCTAAATCATAACTAAGTCCTATTCCCTGGGACCTCCGTCCGTTCTAATTTCTACTGTGGACTCTTTACTCGTCGTCGTCGACCGTCTCGACAAAGGTCATGGTCAGACCCTGGTCGCCATCGACGTTCAGGTTGACGGCATCAATGGCATCACGACGGGACACGGAAGCAGCAGTTGGCGGAACGACGATACCAGGGACAGACCGGGGAACCGTCTCATCGCGCTTACTCTGAAGGGCTGTATGAATGTCGCAAGTCAGCAATTTGCCGGGGTGATTTCCTTGCGCCACTGAAAGGACATGACTCACAGGCCGGAATGCCAGAGCGGACGTACATGGTGGTCACCTTGGCGCGTACCCGCTTCGGGGAGGCGTCGCCATCGACATCGCGCTTTGCGGCTTTGGCAGCCGTCGCCGTGGAAGGGGAGTTGTCGACGATGATGCCGACACCCGAGCCCTCCTTGCCGGTGCCGAGCTGGACCTTGGGGCCCTTGGTGAGGGCCGCCTCGGCATAGGTCAGGGCGCGGTCGAAGCCGGCCAGGTCGCGCTTCTCGACCGTGGCGGCGTCGTCGCCGTCGTCGTCCTCGTCGTCAGCGGCATCGACCAGTTGCATGCGTGGAGCAATCTCCTTCTTGTTGCCGAGACCCTGGAGGTTAGCAATCTGCTGGGCCTAATTCTTGTTAGCGGATACAACGAGCAGAGGCATTGACCACTTGTATCCCCTGTAGCACGCAACGACGCACCTGCTCGACGAGGGGATCCGAGGCGGCGGCGTTTGTGGTGCCGGCAGCCGACGGGACGGGCACTTCGTTGTTGACCGTGGTGGAGGTGGCAGTGTTGCCGTTGGCGGCGTTGTTGGCGACGGTGGCGGCCGTGTTGACAGCAGCGCCCTCGAGAACGTTCATCAGTTTCGACACGTCCTGCTCGCCGCCGAAGCTAATCTCACCATCACCGACCACCAGTGCGGGTGAGTAGGCGCCGAGGTTGATGTTGAGGGGCAGGGCCGAGGCCAGGCCGGCCATGGCGACGAATGCGTACGCGTAGCGAACCATGATGCGGGAGGAGAGTTGTGAGAGTAGATGAATATGAATGAGATATATATGTGTGCGTGTGTGTGTCAAAAAAATTGACAAAATGTAAACGACTGAAGTAAACAAAAGTGGAAATAATAAAACAGTTAAAAGGTGACGACCAGCGACTGAAGAAGTGAAGAAAAGAGAAAAGAGAACGAAAAAGAATGGTAAAGTGTAGAATGTCTGGACGAGCACAGCTGGTGAAGAAAAGAAAAGGAAGAAAATGAAGACAAACGAAGGGTCAACCTCCCTATATACCTTCATCGCGATGGGCAAGGATTCTATTTCTGTCCGACTAGACTCTAGACCTCCTACCTCTTGGCCTTGTATCTTTGAGACGAAGAACCACAGAGCCATGGAGTCGAGCAAAGGGGCCGAGTCCACAGGCCGATGCGTTTCTGCTGTTTAAGCCAAGACGGATGTGCGCCAGACTGCCTGCTTCGAGGCCAGCAACGGTGCCAGTGCATTCTCCAGTCTTGAAGCATCGCCAAGCTCTACAGCGTCTAGAATACTGTGTACGATGTACGTGACCGTCTTGGCGTGTGCTCTCTTCGCCTCCTTCGCCTCCCTCCTCCCTCTGCTCGTTTGGCAACTCCCGAAACACAGAGGGCTGGACCAACACCGTCTCCCGTTGACAAATATTGGGCGCCAGGGCCAGTACAAGGGTTCAGAGAGAGGCTCACGCTGTGAACCGGTGCCCAGCCAGACCGCGCATCAGGCACAGAGCATCCTGCTTCAAGACACTGCCAAGAGAGGCTCGACGACATTTTGTGCATGGGTCAGGTCTTGTCGCTGGTTCTTGGCAGGCGCTGTCTCTTTTACGGCGAGGGTTTTGCGGTCCTCATCCACATCCCTTTTCGATTTTTTCTTACTTCTTTTACTATTTTGTCTTGGAAACAAACAAGAATTGGCCAAGAGGAGAAGCCAAAAGGCATAACAGAGATAAGCAAAGGGGACAAGAGACGGCATAACGCAGTCGACAGCTTGGCTCGGTCGAGGCTGGAAAACGACAAAATCTACATCCACTTTGCCTGTCCGTCTCTTGGCTCTGCCTCGTCAAACGGCCTCGACCGCTCTTGTACCGGTCGTCGTTCTGTATCCTCGCTGCTCCCGCATTCTCTTTCTCCTTTCTTGGCCGTTTTCTGAACCCTCCTGATGACGGGCGTTGGTAGTTGGTTTCGGTGGGTCATTGTCAGAGAGGTGAGAAACGAGAAAAAAAAACAGTGAAGAGCAGCGTGGTAGAGACCGTTTGCCGTAAAACAAGAGTGGATAAGAGACGTCTCTGAGACTCAGCCAAGCCCTAGGCCAAGCCCTGCGCCAAGCGTTTTGGGGTTACGAGAGAGTCTGGCAAAAGACTGAGATAAATGGGAATGGAAAAGCACAATCAACAGTGATGAGGAACAGCCATGGGGAAATGAAATATTGAGTGAAAAGCGGACAAAAAGTGAAGAAAGCGAGGGAAGAAATAATAGACGGCGAGAAGGAGAGAAGCACACCGGTCTAGTGGTGATGTCGATGTAAATCTTAGTAACCACCACACCCACACAAAAGGAGCGTTCGACGGCCACAACTGTTCAAGATCCAGATCGACTCGTTCTCGGAGAATTACAATGTGCATACACACCCTCCATTTGCCTGTGTCATTTTCCAGTCATACTCTCGGCTCTGGCCTCTCTTATCTCGCAACAGCCGTCTCCGCGAACATTTAGCTGCCCAGCGCCCTACTCGCTGCATGGCTTGGACCCCATTTGCCGAGCCAAGAAGGCCCTCCCAAGACATTTCATCGACAGGCGGCTGATCAAACTGCCGGCCAAGAACCGCGGAGCCCGCGACAGGCCGCAACACAGCCAAGAACACTCAGAAACAAGTGCAAAGAGAGAGAAAAAGGAGACAGCCAATGAGACGCTATGTGAAAAGCGACAAGTGACGAAGTCCGGCAGGTAAAATCTGAGGCAGCTTCTTCTTGGCTGCGACGCGGCCTCCAGGTCAAGGTACTGTGGAGGCGACGGATCCCCCAAGTGTCTTCTCGAAGACACTTACGAATTATACATTCCGAATGCAACATTGTTCTTGCCGATGTTCGCAGACGGTGAATCGTCCAGCCTGGAGCGAGTGTCTTGAAGATGAAAACGAAGCATTTCGATCTGGACCGCACAGTGGCAGATATAGTGGGTACAGCAGGCTACAGTGGGCTTCAGCGGGCTGGCGACGGCGCGGGACGCACCCACTTAATAATGATCCACTAAGACAAACAAACAGCCAATCACAACCAGCCGTCTTACAGCTCTTATTACATAATCCATTCACCCTAGCAACGGATGTCAATAAACCACATGTGGATACCGCGATGCACGCACCACCAGCTAATCCATCTACACTCCAGTGCAACGCCTATCCATGCCTGCTCGCCACTTTATCTCGCCAGCGAAGAGCCACTTTTTGCTCCATCTGCTGCTGAGTGACGACGTTTCTTTCCTCTTCGAGCAAGAAGTGGGCTTCGTTGGCGCCATTCTCCCACGACGTAATATGCTTTTATTTTTCAAGTCCTGTCGTTTGCTGTCTCCGCCTCTTCTCTCCTCCCCTCGATGCATTCATCGCGCCAGCTGCGGTTTCGAGACGTTGCCAACGACATTGTCGACACGCTGATTGGCATTTCCGCCGAGCCCCGCCTGATGCCCGGCGCCGCTGCCGTGCCGCCTGCACAGATTGTGAAGGCAGACGACGACACCATTCGTACCAGCAGCCACACGACCAACAACAACATCAACACCACCACCAGTATCGCCATGGCCACTGCGACACCCGTGCGCGCCGTCCGCTCCTCGGCCTCGACGCCTTCCCTGCGCTCGCGCGACGGCACTGTGCCGCCACACGCCCGGATGGATCCCGGCGGCAATGTGCGCGTGGTCGTCCGCGTCCGCGCCTTTCTCCCACGCGGTGCGTTTTTTTTTGTGCCCTCGTCTCGGCACGGTTTGATTTGATCGTGACTAACGCCAGACGCCCCTGCAGAAATCGAGAAAAACACTCAATGCCTCATCCAGATGAACCCCGTGACCCAGGCCACGACTCTTCTGGCCCCAGCATCCGCCGAGCGCGCGGAGACGCCCACCGCCGGATTCGCCAAAGCCGCAAGCCGCCGGGCCAACCTCGAAGACCGCTCCTTTACATTTGACAACTCGTTCTGGAGCCACTCGCGCGACGACGAGCACTATGCAGAGCAGGCAGACGTGTACAACAGCCTGGGCGAAGAGTTTCTCGACCACAACTTTGAGGGCTACCACACGTGCATTTTCGCCTACGGGCAGACGGGCTCCGGCAAGAGCTACACCATGATGGGCACGCCCAGCGAGCCCGGCCTGATCCCGCGCACCTGCGAGGATCTGTTCCAGCGCATCGCCGCGGCGCAGAGCGAGACGCCTAACATTGCCTACAACGTGCGGGTGTCCTACTTTGAGGTGTACAACGAGCACGTGCGGGATCTGCTGGTCCCCGTCGCGCCCGCGCAGCCGTCGTACTACCTCAAGATCCGCGAGTCGCCCACCGAGGGCCCGTACGTCAAGGACCTGACCGAGGTGCCCGTGCGCAGCCTCGACGAGATCCTGCGCTACATGCAGATGGGCGACCGGTCACGCACCGTGGCCTCTACGAAAATGAACGACACGTCCAGCCGCAGCCACGCCGTGTTTACCATTCTGCTGCGCCAGATCCACCACGACATGGAGACGGACGAGACGACGGAGCGCAGCTCGCGCATCCGGCTGGTCGATCTGGCGGGCAGCGAGCGGGCCAAGGCCACGGAGGCGACCGGCCAGCGGTTGCGGGAGGGCAGCAACATCAACAAGTCGCTCACGACGCTGGGCCGTGTGATTGCGGCGCTGGCCGATCCCAAAAGCGGCACCCCGCGCAAGGGCGGGGGCCCCGCCGCGAAGGGCAAGACGCGGCAGCCGGCGCGCGGCACACGCGCCGGCAGCGTCGACCAGATCGTGCCGTACCGCGATTCCATCCTGACGTGGCTGCTCAAGGACTCGCTGGGCGGCAACTCCAAGACGGCCATGATTGCCTGCATTGCGCCGGGCGACTACGACGAGACGCTGTCGACGCTGCGCTACGCCGACCAGGCCAAGCGCATCCGCACGCGCGCCGTGGTCAACCAGGACAGCATGTCGACGGCCGAGCGCGACGCCCAGATGGCCGCCATGGCCGAGGAGATTCGGCGCCTGCAGCTGTCGGTGTCGGACTACTCGCAGCGCTGGGAGCGCGACGCGGCCCAGGCCGCCCAGCACGCCCAGCAGCACGAGGCCCGCGAAGCACGCGACGCCGCCCGCGAGGCCCGGCTCGAGGAGTACCAGACGCGCGTCGCCACGATGCAGCGCATGATGGAGGAGAAGGCGCTGGTGGCCGAGGGCAAGATCCGCCGGCTGCAGACCGAGAACGAGGCCCTGCGCCTGCACCTCAAGCTGGCCGTCGACTCGCTCAAGAACCCGATCCCGGCGGTCACGCCGTCGCCGTCCCTGGCCCACGTGGGCATTGACAGCATCGATTCAGACAACACGCGCCGCCGCAGCAGTCTCTTCCAAGACGCCCATGGCGGCGACCGGCGGCGCAGCGGTGCCGGGGGACGGCGGCTGCGCATGTCGCTCGACCCGGGCGGCCTGCTTGTCGAGGAGCGGCTGGAGGCAGGCGGCGAGGGCGATGGGTACGAGACAGCAAAGGGCTCGCCCAAGAAGACGGCCGACAAGGAGAATCTCGTGGACGAGGCCTACTACGACGAGGACGACGAACAGGACGTTGGCGAAGAGGACGGCGACGGCGCCAGCGACGGCGACGACTACGACTACGGCGACGACATGGAAGAGTACATGCAGTCGCTGCTGTCCGACCTGGGCATGTTCCGCCGCAAGATTGGCGACGACAAGCAGCGCTTCATCTCTGCCGAGCCTGGCCTGGGGACGGCTGCGGGGCGGCTTCCCCTGGCGCCGAGGGTGAATGTGTAGGAGCGAGTGCGCGTGAGGAAACGAGCATGAAGCATGGAAGGACTGGGGATTGCATGGATCACGGCCAAGGTTTTCTTTTGAGTTTGTCGTTAGTTTTATTTTGTTCTCTCCTCGTTTCTGTGTTTTTCTTTTACATTGTTGTACAGCGTACGGCTTTTGGGCGCATAACGAAATCAAACGGTCTTCTTTGTTTACTTTGAGAACGTGTGAAATGCAGAAGATGAAGATGCCGTTTTTCTTCGACAAGTTCGACATGTTCTTCCAAAACCTTCACATGAATCTGCCTGCAACACGATCATGGCAAAGTGTTCTTGCCCTTGGAGTGGCGGGCCATTGAGCCAATGAGCTTGCCGTGTGCGCGTTGTTGGCTTACAAGGCCATTTCCTAATCGGGTAATTTGTTTGGTTCACGATGTCAGCCTAGTGCCAAAACGAAAAGCGGCAACTGCACATGTGCACGAGGAAGGCACGATGCACGCGGCTCGTTTCTCGTCTCCTACTAATAATCAAAGGCATGACGATATACGGCTGGTTGCTTGTCATCCTTGGAAGCACAGAGAACAAACGAGACGTGTTTTGATTACGGGCCATCGTCCTGATTCGCAACTCGTGCTCCGATTTGCGGCGTCAAATGGCTCGAAGAGAGTCCAGCAGCAGACAGCCTGACTGTATATGACGACACCTGTACGTTTATAGTAAAAGTAAGGAGTGCTTACATTCTGCTTTCTATCACAAGTGTGCACAACACGTCACCAGGTCTCGCAAGTCTCATCGAGTAGCTTCAAAGCCCTTTTCATTGCAACAGTACGTCAAATACAAACCAAGCATCGTCACCAACATGGCCTTACACATACCACAGGAGTCATCTGCTCTGTTTCCTTCTTTCAACTTCTTTTCGCCAATCTTTTTGTGCATAAAAGGCCGGCCTCTTCCTCTCGTCTTTGCAATCTTCGTCTCCTCCTTCATCCGCATGCTCAGTCTTCTTGAGAACACGTTTGCTCCCAAGATAATTTTCACATCTTCGCAATCTCACACTATTTTTCTTGTTCAGCAAAGAACTCAAAAACAAACAGTATGTTTTCTTTTCCTACACACAGCCTCACCTCATCTTCCCGTCTTCCATTCTTGTCCACTTTCTCATATGCCCTTTTTGCCCTTTATTGATTTATTGCTCTCATCTTGTCTTCGGCATCGATCATCCCCCACAGTTGATTATTTGACTAACAAATTCACAGATTCGTCATCATGGCTCCCATTATGCTGATGAACACACATCCCAGGCTGTATCCCAAGTGGTGGTGGGATCCGCCGGCGTCTTCAAGCCTGTACATCCCGCCACCCAGCCGGGAGACAGTGTGTACGCTGCCTGTCTGTGCACGCAAGATGGTCGACTCACGTGTTCAGAACGCCTCCGAGGCCATCGTTGAGCGCCAACTCCTCGAGAGCTTCTTTTACAGGGACTTTGCGTGCACACGCGACGTGGTCTGCTCGGAGAGAAAGGTCGTCTTGGCGTTTGCCCAGCTTCCTCAGCACATGCGCGCCGGTCTGGAAGACCTGCACGTCATGCTTTGCCGCATGGTCGTGGCACATGCCTGCTGCGAAAACCGCATGGGCCACGCCGCCGACCTCGCTAGGTATGCGCGCATGATCCACGCGCCTGGCCTCGAGGGCATACTGGACGGCTGGATGTACGAGCGGTGCGCCACGTACGAGCACTACAAGGCGATTGTGGATGACGAAGGCACCGCCCCAGAAGAGCGAAGAACGGCCGAAATGCGCATGACGCGCGCGCTTCTGAACCACTTCTACCGCCTGACGGGGCTGACCAACCCCGTCCTCCGCCAAGCGTCACGTTTTACCTCAACCAAGCGCCCTTGTGGTCCGGACGCTATGGTGGAGGACGAGAAGACGTCCCATCGTGCTCCGCTCACCAAAAAGCCTAGGCTGTCGCTTGTTACTAAGCCAGCGGCTTGTTTGGGGCCAGATATGGCCAAGACGGCGCGCATGAAAACACAGCGTATGGAGGACAGTGTAGTGGTGAAGAAGGAGGCGCCAGAGCACTCGCATACGAAGCTGTTCCACTGTTCTTACAAAGATTCTTCCTCGGAGGCTTCCAAGAAGTCCTGCCAGGAGACCTTCCGGAAGGCGCCAAAGCTGCCATCGCCTATGACAGTGTCGGAGGCTTTTTCGGCGAATGCAAAGAATGCGTCAAAGGAGGTGCCTGACCCGGTGGTTGTGAAGACGCCAAAGGAGACTCCCAAGACGCTCTCTCAGGAGTCTTTGAAGGAGGCCCCTGAGAAGCCCTCCGAGGAAACGCCTACGAAAAATCCTGCGAAAAAGGCGCCTTCGCCCAGTATGTTTGGCGACGACTCCGACTCGTCGGACGACGACTATATTGGAATTGTTGCAATGGCCGGCGTTGGTCGTCCCAGGGACCCGCCAAAGCCTGTACCTAGTGAGCGTGACAAGCGCAAGGAGATTCGGGACCAGAAGAAGCTTCTTGCTCAGTATTCTGGCTCCCGCCCTTGATGCGACGAATGGTTTTTTGTTACTTTTGTTACTTTTACTACTTTGTTACTTTTTTTATGTTGCTATTGTTCACTTTGTTCTTTTGTTACTTGTTACTTTTGTTTACTTTCTTTACTTTCTTTACTTTCTTTACTTTGGTTTACTTTGGTTTAATTTCCTTCTTGGATAGGTTTGTCTCGTCTTTCCAAAAGGAAAGGAGACCTGGTTTGATTTTATAAAATACTAAATGTCCGCAAGGCACAAAAAATGTAAGAAAATGGCGAAGAAAATATTAAAAAAAATAGGTTACATGTATCGAAACAAGTTTTTTTTTTATAAAAAACAAAAACAAAACAAAACTTACCACCAAAAAAAGTGAAAGAAGAGTAAATAAATAGAAAATTATTGGTTATATGGCCTGCATAAACGATCCACGAGAATATTAGGTTCATGCCCTGTATTCCCGTGCCATCACCTCTCTCTCTTTCGTGATGCGATGAAGTTGGTAATGTGCCGTTAAAGTCACGTGCACACCACGGCTTACACGACTGTCGTCCCGAAACACGATGCGACAGTCAGTGGAGAATCCCCTCAGTGGGGCTTTCAGGGCGCCGTGGGGGATGCTCGTAGCCAGTCGTTGTGGCCTCCCTGAATTCCAGCGCTCTTTTCTCGACTTTTTCGAGTTAGTTGCAGCGGCCCAGCGCGTGTTCTCCAGCTAGCGCCCTGTCTAGCGCTGTCTGGTCCCCCATTTCGCCGTGTTAGTGCCTTTCCACAGCGCTTCGCTGCACCCTTTTGCAGTGGTTGAATCGCGATGTCTTGGACCCCTCGTCAACAGAGGCGATGTGGGCGGGTCGGCCCCTCTGTTTCAGAGCCCCCGAGCTCAGGAGAGCTTCAACCAAACGATATGTATGGCGAGCGAGCATTATGTCCTTTTCATCTGGTTTGAGGTTTCATTCCGAGATCCGCGTTTACGTACTGTGCCTTGAAATAGGGAAGGAGCGACGCAGCTCGGGGAATGGGTTGTTGACAGGGGCAAGGACGCAAGGACGGACGGAGAGGAGTGACGAGGCAGGTGCGCGCGGATGCGAATGGCTGTGGCTTCCTTCTTTGGTGTTTTCGGTCTTTCCTAAAACGTTCGTCATAGCTATCTCCTTTCTCTCCTTTTTTCGCCTTCACTTTGACCTTCTTACTTTTCTCTTTCTTCTCGTCTCACCATCTCGTCCTTTGTCTCTCGGCCAGCCTCCTTTCCGCCCGAACCCTGTCCGCCCTGTCCAACCAGAAGCGAGTGCCTTGCGCATCGGTCTCCTTTTGTAACCCCTCCATCTACGGCGCCTATTTCGGAGAATACAAACTTCTCACGTCTTTATTTTCTTTATGTTCTTTTTCTTTTCGTACTCGATCCTCTCATCTTGACCCGACCTCCCTCATCATACTTACCGACCGCAACCCCGTCGCGCACTCACAATGGCAGCCCGTCCGACCCTCTTCACCCGCGGCCTCTCCTCGCTCTCCAAGAGCTCCTCCGCCGACCCCAACTCTCCGGGTGGCGTCACGACGCCCTCCGAGCAGCGCGACGATGCCAAGCGCAACTTTCTCAAGACAATGCGCGCGCTGCCCACCCAGCACTATTGGAATGTCTACTTTGACCGACCAGGCAAGGAGGCGGGCGCCGGGGAGGGCAAGAATGGAAACAAGGAGGACGAGAGGAAAGAAAACTACCAGGCCCAGCTCGAGCAGCTGGGCGCCCAGATCGAGTCCGTCCAGGACTTTTGGCGCTATGCCAACAACACGCCCGTCGACCAGATCAAGATGCGCGAGTCCATCTACCTGTTCAAGTCTGGGTTCCGCCCCATCTGGGAAGACCGCCGCAACATCAACGGCGGCAGCTGGACGTTCCGCGTGCCCAAGAGCATCGGCCCGGACGTCTGGACGCGCATCCAGCTGCTGGCCATTGGCGAGAAGCTACAGAGCGTACTGGACGAAGGTGAGTCTCCCCCAACCATGGCCCATACCGTATTCTTTCCTTGTGTTTACACCCGGCTGACCTCCCCCCGTCCACCCAGGCGACACAATCTGCGGCGTGGGCTTGTCTGTGCGGTTCAACTCGCACCTCATTTCCATCTGGCACCGCGAGTCGTCCAAGAAGAAATCCGTCGACAACCTGCTCGCGTGCGTGCTCGAGGAGCTGCCGGCCGAGCTGAGGCCCAAGGCCGACGGCTACTTTTACAAGAAGCACTCGGACCACGCCGGCTTCAAGGCCCCGCCCGAGCTGCAGGCTGTGCTCGACTCGCAGAAGAAGCGCGACGAAATGGCGGCGGCGGCAGCCAAGGAGGCGGCAGCGGCCAAGGAGTCAGCGGCGGCCGCCGAGGCGTAGGCCTCTCACACAGATGGCACCAAAGCGGGCGAGGCGAGGTATATACACTTGGGACATTCGTTGGAACTTTGTCATTTCTGCATTTTTCACTATATACGCCGGAGCAGCTTCTTGTGTGTTGCCCACTTTACCAGTTCTCGTTATTTCATAATTTCCTAGCATACATTCATGGCGTTACTTTTTGCCTTTGGTTTTCTCCCAGTCTGTCACGACAATGGATTGATGTCTCCTTGCACCTTTGCTGTTTGCCTCCCTCAGCCATCCAGTCTTTGCGACCAATTGTCTTGTGCTAACAGCCACGTGGTAGAACACGTCAGGAATGCCTACATCAGTGTGTTTGTGCGTCCTTAACTTGGCGCGGTGCTGTATGTCGGGGTGACGTCGGGTTCGGAGGCCTGTCTTCATATAGGCCGTCCCTATCAAGCTACCCGACGTAATGAGACGATGGTCTGTTCGTCGCCCAGCATGGCACCCTCTGCCACTGTCGGGTCACGTTGTCGACGCAGCCTTTTCGCACGCCATGCGCGATCATCCGTTGCCATTGTCTTCGACAGAGACAGGATTGTCGCTTCACGAGTTTGTCTTTCATTCCCCGCTTCTAGACATGCCTCATCGCCAGACACCCGCACGTCGCATCACGTTCTCAAAGGCGTCCCGGTCCACGCCGGCCGTCACGCCCGCTCCGCCGTTGGCCTCCAGCACCATGTCGCGCAGCACATCGTCGGCCACGTCCTCTTTGAGCGTCGCAGCAATCCGTCGCAAGTGCGCTACAGTGATTATGTCGCCTGTCGTCGCCGCCGACGCCGCCGCCGACTGGCCGTGACCCACAAAGAGATTGAACGCCTCGTCCACTTCCTGGGCCTGCTCGGCCCGCGACGTCCGGTCGGCGCGCGCGCGCATCTGCAGGGCGCAAATGGCCACAAAGGACGGGTAGACGGCAAACCCTTCGTCGTCCGGGTCGAGGATGCCGACAAACTCGCTGAGCTCGGCGCGCGAGGCGGGCGGGATGCCAAGGGCGATGAGGGCGCGGCGCAGATCGCCAATCGGGAGGACGCCGTCCTTTTCGCCGTCCATGGGCTCGGCAAAAAGGCCAAAGGCCTCACGAATTTCGGCCTCTTCCTGCGCGGAGATGTTGTTCTCACGGGCGAGTTTGGAAGGACGAGGGGCTTTGTCCTTGTCGGCGGCGGTCGCTGAAGAGGAAGCAGCAGACGCCGAGGCTTTGCGTTTGGGAGGCTGGAGAGGGAGGGTATAAGTCAGCATCAATCGTGGGCATGTGCAGGATCCTGGCAGCATACGTACCATGGCTGGTGTTGGAGTGTCAAGGGTGCAGGTTAACTGACAAGTTACGAACCGTAGATGGGTCTTTGACAAGACAGTCAAAGACTGGGGTGACGCGCAAATCAAAGAGTGGAGCCGAGAACGGCAACACGCCATCACGTGCCAGATGATTATCTAATTCTGCAGGCAGATTAAATGGTTTGAAATTTCGCAGTGGACACTGTCAAAAATCTCTTCTTCCTCTTTCAACGACCAAACACGTTCGGTTTCTTGGGTGTGTTGTAAACTATCCCGCGCGTTGACGTTGCCGTTGCCAGCGAGTTGTTTGTAATAACTCTCATGATGGCAGCGGCAACACAAGGTAAGGAGGCATATACTCATTGTGTATTGTCTGGTAGTTTTTTCTTCGTTTTTTTTTGTTCTTTTGTTCTTCGTTTTACTTCCTCTCTCTCTTCACAACTACACACCTTCGTACACCCGCTTCTAAAATAGCTAGAGCTTGCCGTTTGAGACAGAATCACCGATTCGCCCCCACAGCGTGCAAGTGTGGACAGTGAAGCAAGATGAAAACGCTGGGTCTTTACTCTTCTTGAAGGCCTCCGTCTGGGTCGAACCGCCGTCTTTTCTCATAGATGGCAAGACCGGCCCGCGGAGACATCTATTTCCTCTGTTCCTAATTTCTGACTCTCTTCACTCTTTATGGTTACGTTGACTGTAGCGCGTCTTCCTGCTATGTACACTCTTGTTGCCCTTACTGCCCCGGCTTGGCTGCTCCCGGCGTCTGTCCTGGCGCCCTGACCGGGTCCAGCTGCTCTGGTGCTGGACGCAACGGCCACATGTCACCATCCGGCGGCATCGCTAGCAGCGGTAGAGCCGCCTGCGACGCGGCGTGGCCGGCGGCCGCAGCGGCACGCACAACGTCGGCGGCCGCAAACTGCTCAAACTGCAGGTCGGGGTGCGGCCACTTGTCGCGGCCGCCCGTCGCGGCTGGCAGCACGTACTCCACAGCCGGAAACAAGCTGGGCCACAGTCGTTCCCCGCCGTCTTGCCGGTCCGCCACCATGGCCAGCCGTGTCAGGGCCAGCAGGTTAAAGGTCGAGTAGTGCCAGCTGCGTGTCCGCGCCAGCTCGGCCGGCTGCCGCCCGTCTGCCTCGATGGTTGCCGGGATGTGCGTGTGCACGGCATGGGCTACTTCCTGGGCGACCTGGTCCGTGTCGCCGACGTACGCAGCAATCGTCGCCACCAGCATGGCCGCAAAGCTGCCGTGGTTGCTGCGCTCGGCGTGCTCGGTCTGTCCAAACGCGCCGTCGACCAGCCACGCGAGGAACGAGCGGTTCCAATCCCGGAAGCCGGCGTCGTCCTCGTCCGTCCATCCGTCGTCTGTGCCTTCTGTGCCTTTTGTGCCTTTTGTGCTCTGCTCCCGCAGCAGGATGGCCGCATCCAAGACGCTGGCGTACGCCTGCGAAAAGTCAATGATGCCAATCGCGCGGCCCGTGTTGACGCCCGGGATCAGCTGTGCATGATCCAGGTTGGGGCGCATGGCCGTGGCTGGGGCCACGAACCAGGTACGCAGCACGCGCGCCGCGTGTGTGGCATACTTGGCATTGTCGGTGTAAAAGGAGGCGAGAGCGAGCACGTAGGCCGCGCGAAAGACTTTTTCGACGTAGACGCGGTCGGTGTACGTCAGGACTTCGGGGTTCTTCTGGCCGTCACGCTGGATGTAGGGCAAACCGCCTTCGCTGGCGCGTGCCGGGTCAGGCCAGTAGTACGGTGCTTGGCTGACGTAGTCGTGGAGGTTGCCGCTGGGGCCAGCCTTGGCTTTGTCAACGACGGACCACGGCCCCTGGGTCAACCAGCCGTCTGCTTCAGTGGTGAGTTGATCCAGGGCCACACGGAGGGCTGTGTTGCTGTCGTTCTTGTTGTCGTCGTGAAGGTGGGCCTTGATGGCGGCCAGCTCCCGGCCGTCGAGGGTGACCGTTTGGGGTATGTAGGCGGCCATGATCGAAAATACGTCGCAGTGTAGATGGGACAGTTGAGGTATCGAGAGTCGACGGAGGTGGAGAAGAAGTTGCCGATGATATCAGGGAAGGAACTGGTCGATGGGCTGGCCAGGTGAGGAAGGAGCTACCTTCCGCAGGTGTTTCCCTTTTTGATCATCGCAACACTGCCGTCGACAGGTGGAAGTTCGTCGACATCCGGCCGGTGGACGTTGTCACGGCCTGTGAGACGGCCCGTCGATACACTTCGTTTCTCCAGTCATTTTGTTGTCTTCTTTCGCGTCGGCCTTTCTGTGACAAAATGGGACACAAACTGCAAGGACGTCTACCAACGACTCTTACTGGTGGGAAAGTTTGACGCAGGTAGAGAAACGGTTGCTTTCCGGGAAGGTGCCCTGCGGAGTAGTTGGAGATTGGCGCACCTGCCAGTTAGGAACAGTTGGAGGTGTGTCGGATGCTATCGGCCACGCCCGCCGAAGACCCACAAAATAGCCCGGTCCATCGGCCCAATCCACCACCGCCCTGATATAAGAGAATATCAAGAACATTTTCTATATCCACCCATGGCGTGTGAGTCGTCCAAAAGGCAACCACGCAACACCCACTTCCTCGGTCAAGCTCCTCCAGGATCTAAAGTTCGTTTGCCTCCTCTTTCTGATCCTCATTTTCATATTCCGTGGTTGCAATGACATTATAGGACCGTGTGCGGCGTGCGTAATACATCGTATGTTTGTGTCCAAGTGGGCCACATCACCGCCCGCGGCTTTGGCTTGTCCGATGTTTTAAGATGTGTAAAATGGATCCAGACGTAAGACTGATCAACCCCGAGGCGAAAGGACAATGTTCTCCCGGCGCTCCACAGTCCTTTTGGCACTTGAGGAGACGGAGGGTGTATGAAAGATGGGGCAACTAGTGCAATAGCAAGAACGGACTTTGAGGAGCGAGTGAGCGTGGATTGAGGCATACGTGAGGAGAACCAGCACAGACTGCGGCTAGCGGGCAACGAACAGGAAGACCGAATAACACCGAGGATTAATGAGGAGCGCCGCATGACAAGGAGAGAAACGAAGCAAGGTGAAGCCCAAAGAATGATGCAGGGCTGGCGACGCAGGTGACAGACGACAAAAGACCAAAACACTGGTTGAAAATAGACATAGGAGACAGCAACAAGTGCGAGACTTAGGCTGCTTGTCGCCTTTGTGCGTCTCGCTTCGCACGTTGTACAGTGTCCATCCGCTGCGCCTGGACACCGAGCGTTGGAAGAAGAGAAGAAAGGCGCTGTCGAGACGGCGGGATGCCAAAAAGGACGGTAATCCACTGAAACTGTTTCACTGTCCTTCGGTGCCTAAGTGTTACCATTCTTGACTGTGCAATAAGACACTGACCTATTGTTTGTTGACAAGCCCCTTTTGTCAAATCCCCCTCACTTACCACCAACATTCAGCAAGAATCATCACCAATCATGGCCTCCAGCGCTCCCATCGTGGCCACGGCAACAGCATCTTCTTCAAGCTCTGCATCTGGAATTTTGACGACTCCGCTGTCGACCGCCGCGTCTTCGCCGCCGCTGGCCACGACGCCATTGCCAGCATCCATCCAAGCCGATTTCAAGATCCCCAAAGGAGCGTCTCCAGAGACAGCGAACGCGGTGTTGCCCTCGCCTCCGTTCTCCACATCCATATCGTCACTGTCGTCGGAGTTTCTGGCTGGCCTCTACACCGAAAATGTGGCCGCCAAGATCTGGCGTGTCGCCGAGTCGTATCTCGCGGCTGAGCCGACCCTCTCCACCTACCCCGAATACATTCCTTCCTCGGGCGAGAACACTGGTCACTACCAGCCGAAACCGGCCGCATTTTGGACGTGTGGGTTCTTTCCGGCAAGTCTGTATTGCATCCTCGAACGAGTCATAAAGTACGGCGTCCCCGGCGGCTCCACCAACAACATACCCACCGACCAGTTTGTGTCCCAGCTCCTGGCCCTCGGCCGCCGTTGGACCGCCCCGCTGCACGCCCAGACCACCCGTACCAACACCCACGACCTCGGCTTCATTGTGCGTGCCCTGCGGATGGACTGGGAGCTGACGGGCGACCCGGCCAGTCTGCGCGGCTACGCGACCGCCGCAGCCAGCCTGGCCACCCGCTACAGCCCCCTCGTCGGGGCCATCCGCAGCTGGGACCGCGCCGTCTCCAAGCGGTATGAGATTGCCGATCCAGACCGCAACTTTTTGGTCATTGTCGACAGCATGTGCAACATGGACCTGCTGTTCTATGCGGCCCGGCACGCCAACAACCCGCAGCTCGCGGCCCTGGCCACACAGCACGCGCGCACCGTGCTGTGGACGCTCGTGCGGCCGGAGGACGGCTCGACGTGGCACGTGGCCAACCTGGACCCGGCGCTGGCGGGCGGCGTCGTGCAGTACCGGATGACGCACCAGGGGTACGCGGACGGGTCGACGTGGTCGCGGGGCCAGGCGTGGGCGGTGCTGGGGTTCGCGCAGACGTACGGGTGGACGGCGCTGCCCGAGTTTTTGGCGGCGACGCGGCGCGTGGCGGATTGTTTTCTGCAGCGGCTGGACGCGTCGCCGGCGGCGTCGCACACATATGTGCCGCTGTGGGACTTTGACGCGCCCGTGGCCGACGCGGACCAGCAGGACAGCAACGGCCAGCCGCTGCGGGACACATCGGCCGGCATGATTGCCGCCAACGGGCTGCTGCTGCTGCACCAGGCGCTGGAGCGGGACGGTGCTGAGCGCGAAAGGAAGGATGCCAAGGGAGCCCATCGTGAGTATGACGGCCGGTACCTCGTGGCGGCGTTGCGGATCGCGCACGACACGCTGGGCTACTCGCTGGACCGCGAGGATGTGGCTGCATTCACGGTCGACAGCGCCACGGGTACCATCTATGTCCCAGCCGGCTCGTGGGACGCCATCTTGCGCCACTCGACCGCCAACAACAACCGATATGCCTTGGTGCGGTACGCTGATACGGGTCTGGTGTATGCCGACTACTACTTCCTCGAGTTTGGCAATCAACTGCTGCGGATGGGACTCCAGGTCGCGCCTAGGTAGATAAGACTTTGGTCGGGAGAAGAAGCAACGCCGGTGCCAAGATGCGATGGCTTTTCGTGTTCAAATAACAAAACAAAGCAATACCAAGTCCCGAGAGATCCAATTGTCCAAAAGAAAACAGTCAAAAAGTGCCAATGCTTCATGGGTTGTAGTCGTCAAAATATTATTCATTATATACATGATGAGGCCCTCGGTCTCGTAGATTATCGCAGTAAGAAACTGGCGTCGTTGCGCATCATCACACGTTCCATATCCAAAAACTGGTTGCCCAGCAGCAGATGCGACATCGCCACAAACTCGTCCTCCTCGTCTATTCCAGGTTGCTGTTGTTGTTGATGCTGCTGCTGTGGTTGCTGTGTATGTTGCGGGTGCTGTGGGTATTGAGGGGGTGGAGGTTGAATTGGGTGTTGGTGCGGATGCTGTGGGGGTGGTTGGTGTTGATGTTGCTGATGTGGGTGTTGCTGTTGCTGCTGTTGCTGCTGGTGCTGGTGGTGTAGAGGATGTTGGTGGTGGGGATGCTGCTGTGCCACCATGTCCATGTTGAATACGTTGGCAGCTGTCGCTGGTGTCCCGGGCACCATCCGCACATTCGACACATTGGCCGACACGGGTCCGCCGCGCATACTTCCATAGCCCATGATGCTGCCATCTGGACCGTTGTTCACTGGCGACGTCAACGGGCCAACGGATGTCATGGCCGGCATCGGCGTCATGGCGGGCGTCCGACTTGCCACAGACGCTGGAACAGGGTTTTGCAGGATGCTCGCAATCTCGACACCGCCGCCATGTATCACGCTGGGGCTGCGCAGGTGGGAGGCCGCCGAGGACGAAAGACCCGAGGGCGTCGAGGTCGACGCTGCAACCCCCACGGCAGCAGCGGCGTCTAGCGCATCATGCGTATTAGGAGGAGACGGCTTGATCTTGAAAAGACCCTCCATTGTGGATGTCGACAGCAGCGCAATCATGTCGTCCACGGCCAACAAGGGGGTGTTGATGTCGGCACCAATGGACGTTGCCTTTTGGTGCAGCGACCGCAGCCGAGCGGCGTACAGGGCGGCGAGGTCGAGCGGCTGCCGCCAGCGCTTGGTCTCATCAGCAGGAGGCGGCGCACCATCGTTGTCTCTGGTTTGCTCGCCAGTCGTATTGTTCATGCTGTCGCCACTCTCCTCTTCGTCCGGAACGCAGTACCCATTCCACCGCACCGATATGTTGTCGAGACTTTCGAGGAGTGCAAAGAAGGAGGGCGGGGTGTCGTCTGCCGACGAAGACGATGTTGAGGACAAGGTGGGCACGCCCGATGCCGTCGTGCCGCTACCGCCGCCAGGCAAGGCCGTCCTGCTGATGCGGCCGTGTACGAGGACAAACCGTGCAGCCACAAAGAGGCAGAACGCAAATTGCCCACAGGCCAGTCCGCCGACATAGCGCAGGTACTTTTGCGAGATGGCCACCATGTCGGCCACAGCCTGCTCACACGTTTCGGCACTGCAGACGCTGGGCAGGCTCGGGCGGACAAGGCTGGACCATTGCGGCGGTGGGTAGGCGATGTGCTGGTGGAGGAGGATCATGCTGGCGAGGTGGCTCAGGTGGCTCAGAGTCAAATTTGGGTCGATTTTGAGCGAGACGTGCCAGTCCGCCCACTGTGGCGGTAGGTGCATCTTCCAGTGCACAAGGCGCAGATCGAGCTCCTTGAAGCGGGTGAGCCAGGCGTTCATGGCGGCACGGTCTTCGGCGCCCACACCTGCCCCTGCCCCTGCAGCAGTAACAGTTTCGCCCAGGGAAGGCGCCGGCGGCGGTTGCCGTGCATAAAACGCCGAGACATGGCTCAGGTGCTCTGTTGCCTCGATACAGTATGCGAGAGCGCCAAGTTTGTTGGTGTTGGCGGCCGATGCCGAAGAAGAGCCACCGCCGCCGCCGCCAGATGTGGCAGACGGACCCGAGGACGTCGTGCCGTCGCGGGCGGTCACGGGGCTTGCCATGGGATGGTGTGTGTTGCCGTAGTAGTATTCTGGGGATTGGTGGAAAGCGGTGGTGATCGTGGATGGGGCGGCCATGCTTCCTATCGCTTTGCCGCCGCCTTCGTTTTCTCGGCTGTCCCAGAGGGCAAAGTACGGTGTCGTAACAGTCTCTTCGCGGGCCCAGAAACCGCCACTGCAGGGGAGGCGCCGGTGTGCATCGGTTGCCGTGAGATTCGGCAGCCATCTGGCAGAAGGGATAAATGCGTCAGAGGTATGCTCATTAATACACAATTTTTGCAGCCAAAAAAAGAGGACGCTTACCCTGCAGAGATGGACGAGATACGGTCCAGGAAGAAGACGCCCCAGAAGATTCGCCGACGCTCCTCGGCTTCCGTCCAGTCACGGGCACCGTCAAAGAGAGCACCTGGCTTGACGAGCGGCGTTGGACGAGCAGAGGCATCGTCTGGCTCGACAGTCAGCTGGAGAAAGACGACTTCCCGCGTCAAGGCAGCCACAATGGGCCACGCCTTGGCAATCAGGCCACTGCCCATCTAGAGTTAAGAGTTAGCAACAGAACAAGGGGGAACAAAAAGATCGCAGCGAGGACAAAAAGAACAACAACGTACGTAGTCAAAGGCGAGAAAGATGAGAGCCTGGGTGTTGATAAAAGACAGGCCGTCGAGGGCATTGAGCTGGACGGCGCGGCGGGAGAGGCGGATCTGGCGGGCGACGTGGCGGCTTTTGAGGCCAAAGGGGCCAAAGTCGACGTACTTGATGGACATGGCAATGATGGCATGGATCAAGACGGCGCGGCGGCGGCGTTCGCGGGGGTTGTCGAGGAGAGCGCGAAAGCGCGTCGGGTGGAGGATGGGGACCCAGTGGTGGACGGTCTGAAAATGAGCCTCGACAATGGCTTTGAGTAGAGGAAGGGCAGGTAGAGGTGGGATCCAAGCGTGGTCAAGCGAGGATGAGGAGGCATTGGAATCGTCGTCGTCGGAGATGTCGTGGTCGCCGTTCCTCCGGCCGTGCCTACGGTGGTGGTATGGCGGGTCGTCGAGGAAGAGGTATTGCGGGCGGCCATGGCCAGCGTGGCTCGCACCCTGGTGGTTGTCATCGTCGTCATCGTCATCATCGCTATCCGCGTCGTCACCGCCGCTCCCGTTCTGATCGAGACGACGGCGCTTGCGCGACTGTGCCACGCCGGACCGCTGCCGTGGCCGTCTGTGGTTACTGGCCGACGACTCGGGCGAAGAGGCACTGCTGTTGCCATTGCCATTGGCTCCTGCACCGCCCGACACACCGCCTGCATGTGCGTATGCACTCAACCTGGCATGACCAGAAGAGGGGCCACCGGCGCCGGCGAGTCCCGGCGTAAAGGGCGACGGCAGCTGGCCGATGTCGAGGTCGAGAAAGGCCAAGTGCGGCTTTTTGTTGCCGGTGCTGTCCAGGAAGAGCTTCTCAAGGAATTCTGTCAATGTGAGCTGGGAGTCTGGGCACGAAAACCACAGTCACCAAGAGTGCAAAACGGCTTACCCAACCGCCGGCTCAACGTGTCGACGACACCGGCCTTGAGTCCAGGCTTCTGTTTGGAGACGTAGAGACATTCACAGCCTATGCAAGTCAGTTAGGGCTCTGTGTAAGAGGTTGTTTGGGCCCGATACGACCAAGTGGCGAACTTGGCGGGAGCTGGGGACGGTCTATCGGATGCGATGTATGAGCTTCACCTCATGGCCACCGACGAGCACCCACCTAGTCGAATGCATTGCGCACAGCTGGGCGTCTCGCGTGAACATCGCGACTTGCGTTTCCGGCAAGACAGACAGGCCGGCAGGTCGTCGGGCGGCGGAGAGCCATCGTCGTCGGGGGGGTCGGCCGGGCGCACACCGGTGCCGTTAGTAAGCGGCTGGGGGGGTGCGTCCATGGGGAGATGGGGGAGGGGAAGAGGGTGAGGAGAGAAAGGGAAAAGGGGACGACGAGGTTGTCAACGGGAGAAAGACGCCCGGCGGGGCAAAGGAGTGGCGCCTGGTGGAGATGGTCAAAATGCGAGGGACAGCTGAGAGACAGAATGCAGGAACGATGACGGGACAGGAAAAAAAGGCAATTGCACCTCAAAATTGGCGACGAGGAAAGAGCGATCGCGGGTGTGCCGCAAACGAGGCGTGCAGCCCACTAGTCGCGGCGTCCACCAGTGTTTCCTCAAAGCATGGCGGGCGGAATCCTTTGCGCGGAAAGAGCGACAGTTCAAAACGCCAATACGACGTTAGTCTCTCCACAGCACCCCAATACAGAATACTCCAAAGTCCAAAGAAGCATTGTCGCATCCGGGGTTTGCTGATCCTGCACAAGCCTGACCTTTCCAGAAATGGTATTCTCGTGTTGGGGTTATGCCGGGGAGTCGCTACTGAGGAGTCCCGAGTACACAGACGGAGTATGGGTTGCTTACCAGCTTATCTACGGGATATAATTCTTTGTCAGAATTCTGGGCTTCGGAAACAGGCAAAGTTTGCGTTGTGATAGAGTGGTAAAACTGCCAATCGCAGGCCGCGTCAACGAGATCCTAGAGATGCGGTGGTGGGCGGTGTGGCCATGCTAGACGGTATGAAAATGCATTGCCGTGGAGAGCTGAACCTCATCGGCAAGGGCATCATGACGCGGCTGAACTACAACGTCGCCATCAACGAGGCCGACGAGATGCCCAAGCCGAGCAAGACGAGACAAAACGGTCACAGTCGTCCATTCTGCGGCCATGCACAGGGTCTTTGCCGTGTCTACCGTTTCGGGACGGCAAGCGACCGAAAAGGTCCAAAAGACTACACGAACAGCAACGCATACAAAACCAAATCACCTTGGAATAATTAACGTCATATATCAGAGGTGTGTAAACAACACTGTTCACAAGTGAATCGTTAAAGCAGGTCATTTAAGAGATGCTATAAATCAAAAGAACCAAAAATCAAAAGAAGCAAAGAAGGAAAATACGCAATGCTGAGCTTCGTCCATCGATTCCGTCCAACACCTATATACACATTATTGGTCTTTCAAGGCGACCTCGTCTATCATCAGTAGGGCCTCGCCGTTGTCGAATTGGCCCCCTTTGCCCCAGGGGCGCCCGCCTCAGCCACGTCTGCTGCTTCTGCCACCTCGACCACCTCTGCTTCCCCTCGGGCATCGTCTTCGCGCAGCTTGCCGTCGCCGGGCGCCAGCGCGGCGCCGTCAAAGAGCTGGGCGACCTCCTCGAGGCTCAGGTTCTTGGTCTCCGGGTAGAAGAAAAAGACAATGACAAAGTTGCTGACGAGCACGGCGCACCAGACAATGTAGTAGCGCCAGCCGATGGCGGCGAGGCCGACGGGGTTGGTGTAGCTGCTAAAGATGTTGGCGGCGGCGTCGCACAGGCTCGAGAGCACAAAGGCCTTGGCGCGCAGCTCAAACGGCGCGACCTCGGCGACGTACGAGTTGAGCATGCAGCCGGGCATCTTGTAGAAGAAGCCAAACAAGAAGGTGGCAAACAGCGTCGTGCGGCTCAGGGCATCGTTGGTGTAGTTGATGCCCGTGTTGACGCCGGTGCAGACGGTCAGGAGCAGGAACGCAACAAACATGCCGCCGAGGCCCACGAGCCACATGGGGCGGCGGCCGATGCGGTCGACAAACAGGCTGAAAAAGTTGCCCCAGACCCAGCCGTTGATGGTGATGCCGCCGTTGAGTTCGAGCTGCGTCTTGGGGTTCGTGATGCCAATGGAATTAAAGACTAGATGAATATAGTAACTGAGCAGCGCATTACCGCACCACTGGATGATGAAGCCAGACGTCACGACGATGAACAGCCGGTAGCGGTTGGCGGCGGTGCGGATCCACTCGGACCAGGCGGACGTGGACTGGGCGCGCTCGGCCTCGATGGCGGCCTCGATCTCGGCCATTTCGTACTGGAGCAGGCGCGACGACTCGTCGCCCTCGGCGTGGTACTTGGTCAGGATCTGGTAGGCTTCCTGGGTGCGGCCCTGGTGCACGAGCCAGCGGGGCGACTCGGGCATCACAAAGGCCATGCAGAGCTGGAAGGTGGACGAGAGAGCCTGCAGCAGGGAAGGCAGGCGCCAGGACCACGAGGACATGCCCAGAAAGGCAGTGCCGTAGGTAATCCAGGCGGCCATGATCTGGCCGAGCGAGCCCGTGGAGTTCTGCACGCCAATGATGGTGGTGCGTTGGGTGGGGTGGGCGAGCTCGGATGCGAGCACAGGGCAGGCGGTGTTCTGGATGGTGTTGCCGAAGCCGATAAGAACGCGGGCGACGACGAACATGGGGTAGTTCACGGCGGCGGCCTGCAGGGCGACGCCCACCAACAAAATAGACGAGCCGATGACAATGGGCCAGCGGCGGCCGTAGCGCTGCATGAGCGGCGCGGCAATCACCAGAGCGCCGAGCTGGCCGTAGCGGGTGCCGCTCGTGATGGTGCCGAGATGCGTGCCCTTGGGGTGGCCCATGGCGTCCTGCCAGCTCTCGAGGCTTTGCAAGCCGTTGAGCATGGAGCCATCGTAGCCGTTGGTGATGTCGCAGACGATGCAGCCCAGCAGCAAGATGTTGAGCATGCGCAGGTTGGGGTAGTGCCACCAGAAGCGGTCGCGGGTGTCAGTGTCGCGCAGGACAACGCCGTCGCCGTGGACGCCACGGACGGCTGTCTTGTCAACGTGGAACATACTGTGCGGAGGGTGTGGTGATGGATGAGGTGGGTGAGATGCAGGCAGGGAGAGAAGGGTTAAGACATCAAGAGGAGATATTGCTCGTGATGAGCGACTCGTTTGTCATGCCTGACATCAACGTCAGACCAAAAAATGAAGACATCGGACGGTGCCCGACTTATAGATATTCAATGCTCGTATCCGAATGCCCAGACAGCTAAGCCCCCGTGTGCTCACAAAGCACGATGCAGATGGTCAAGCCAACCACGCGCGTTGCTCACACATATGTGCACCTGCTCTTTAGGCGGTATACGTGAGGCGTCTGCTGCACTCCGTATGGCTTCTCGCTGTGGCCGTATATACAGCTGTGACTTGGCTTGGGGTTTGGGGTTTGGGGTTTGGGGTCGTGGCCTGCAGTGCGCCTGTTTCGTGATCGCCCACACAACGACAATACCAACGCTGCCGGCCCTGGCTATTGATCACCCTTGCGCGCATGCACGGCCTTTGCCAGCCAGGTGAAGCATTGTCCCGTAAGCCGTCGAAGGGGGTGGACAGAACAAGGTCAGAAGACAGAAGGCAGAAAATTGAGATGAGGAGAAGAGATGCAGAGAGAATGGAGGGGAGGGGGGGTGTGAACAGCGATCGCCATGTGGTGGTGATGTAAACAGAACCGCGGCAGAACGAAACAAACGCACCGAAACATCCACATCGCCACATGGATCGGCGTGGAGAATCTGGGGTAAAGAAACGAAAAGGGTCAAATCTCCATCATCAATCAAAAGGACGACGTCCAAATTATGGAGAACAAGGCAAAGAGGGGCGTGAAACGAAGTCCAGAAGGAGGGGAAAGAACCAGACTGCTGGAGAGAGCCAGGATGGCGTGCAGGCAAGAACGACCGGCAGCCACCAAACCGAGCAGCGAAGTGGACAAGAAGAAGGCGAAACGAACGGAAAGTGCGACGCAGCGGCGGTTCGGTCGAGTGCTTGCCCGCTCAGCACTGACAGCGGGCATCGGCGCTGCATGCCCGACGGATCAGGGGCTCGGCTGCTAACTTTAGGGTTTGTTAGCGCAGTGGAGCTTGACGATACCAACACACCACTGCACTCCGAGGAGAGACACCAACGGCCTCGTGGATCTCATCCGTATTGCATCGACGACGCGTGTTTGTACGTACTTTGAATACTCCGACGCGCTTCCCTTCCACGCCCCATCGCCAACCTCGCAACCACACTTCACTGGGCCCAGTCTTTTTTTCCCAAGACGAAGAGATTGGCTCTGACGTTGGCGTCTGTCGATAGCGTCTGGTGATGGCGTGCGTCGTCCGGGGTACGGATAGATGGACGCAGATTGGTGGACAAACTCGTGCGGCGCAAATCAGATGGACGTTGGAGGCGGTGGTGTCCTCGGCTCTCCTCAAAATCTGGGGCGGAAGAAGCAGTCTCCGTCGGTGGACGCAGCAACCTGGGGAAGAAAGACGAGGCAGATGGGGAATGGGGAATGAGCAAGGTGAGTCGTGCCGGACCTGGGCATGCGTTTTGTTGCCGTCTTTACTTGCCTATTTGGTATGTTGGTGTTTCTCATGTCCCAGATCTAGCTCGACTTGCTGCTCGCACAGAAACATGAATTCCTTGACGAAACAGTTGCTGTATTGGTATCTCAATGTGTTCTTCGCACGTGAATTTCTTCTTCTTCTGCTCGCAACCACCAGGACTCCTCCCATCACTCTCGTGTGCCACCTACACAACGCCAATCGGCCGTGGTGTCCACTCGCCAGAGTATCGTGTCCACCGTGGGTTGCGTGATGCAAATTCAGGCTCAGGAGCTGCCGCCCTGTCGTCGTCCTCAGCCATGACCACTTCATTCTCTGCCGCTTCTTCGTCGTGAGCTTCCTCTGGCGGTTCATCTTTCTCGTCGGCCCCAGGCTCTGCCATATTTCCGTCGTTCTCCTGGCCCTCCACATCCCCCTCATCACCCCCTTCGTAGAAAGCCTGCCGACTTCGAGCCATGGCTGCCCGCATGGCCTCCAAGTTGAGATTTCCCGTTGTCCAGCCAGCCGGGCCAGCCGACGGCTTTGTTGCACGCGTTGCCGTTGCCGGGCTTGCCGGATGTGCACTTGCTGGCTGTACAGTCTCTTCTGCATTGTCCGTTGCCTCTGCCCGTCTCGTCCTCGGCCCTGTCTCTGTAGCTGCGGCACTCTTCTTGTCGTCGTCTCGACGAAGAAGCCTCCGTGACAATCGTATACACCGCAGTGCGCGGCTCTTTGTGTGAGCTTCATCCTCGCCCTCTTTGCCGTCGCCTTCGGCACCAATCGCTGCCAAGCCCGCCAGCACCTCCGCCTCGCCCCACGTCTCGACCAGCGAGGCAGGAATGGCAGTGTCGGGGTCGTCGTTGTCGACGTATGCGAGCAGCGTTGTGTGGAGAGAGGTTTCAGTGTCCGTGGTCGCCTCTGTCACTACGGCCGCCGACACGGCTCTGGCTCCACCAACGTCAGATTCGTCCTCCAAGTGCGCCCAGTAGTACCCCCAGATCCACGCCAAGGCCTGGCGAGCCGCCACCCGCAGCCGCCGCAACGCTGGCAGTGCCTCGTGCGTCGCCTGGTGGCGGAGCTCGACGAAGCCGGGCGGCAGGCCGACGGCCTGCGCGAGGCCGTGCATGGAGAGCTTGCGGGCGCGGTCCTGCTGCCCGTCGAGGAGGCCGGTGACGAAGCGGGAGAAGGCGGCAGAGTAGGTGGCGCGGGCGGCGTAAGCAGCCGAGCCCGCCATCGCACCCGTCCTTGAGCCTGCCGAGGCCTCTGCCGACGCGCAAGGCGCATCAGCCAACACGGCCGCCATCAACAACGCCGTCGACTCCACCATGTGTGGACAGTGCCCCCGCTGCATCCATATGGCAACCCGCGCAACAGCTGCATGCTGGGCTGCCCCGACGTCCCGGGCCGCCGCTCTTGATTCTGCCCTGGTCTCGCCGTCGAGGGCTGGATAGAATTGGCGGCGGACGGCGAGCAGTTCGCGGCGGTCACGCCATGGCGTAAAGATGTATTGGACCATGCTTTACCTGGCGAATAACACAACCGGCGATGAGAATAAGTGTAAAATAAAGCTGTCGTGTTGTCAGGCGCCGTAAGGCTGTAAAGTCGTGAAGCTCGATGTGAGTTGACGTGCGCTGTGAATCTAAAATTTCACGTGTCTTGTGCGCTAACGTTGGGCGAGAATGCGCTGTAAGAAGGACCAACGATTACAGTGTCGTCGACACGGCGTTTTTACTTAACGAATAACATCCAAAATCTCAAGTATCGAGGCGTACATATGGAATTTTAGGATTTTAACAGAAATAAAATACATTTTAGTAAATATATTCGAAAGAGATGTATCTTGGTGCCTCACGTTATGTGCTGGCGATGCCACTGGCTCTTTCCTCGATTTTTTGTATACACTCCTGCCTCTGACGATTTTTTCCTCAATTTTCTCCCCACGCGGAAGGGACCCACTTTGACTCACCAAATGCTGGAGCCGTCAACGTCCTTTCTTGATAAGAAGCTCATTAAACCTCAATTGAACTCTCCTTTGGTCTCAATTGACCACGATTCCGACACGAGTTGATGCCAATTACCTCAGTTGTCGACAAGGCGTTTGTACCACCCACCCAGTAACTCAGCACGCGTCTCCCTCCCATGGCTGTGCATGGCATGGCCCCCCGGGCTGCGGCTCCGGTTCTCGGCCTGGCCAAGCGGGCGGCCACAACAGCCGCCCCGACTGGTCCGTCTACCTCCTTCACCCGCTCCTACTCGGCGCCTGTTGGCAACGCCGTCCCCGCCGCCAAGAAGAAGTATGTGCCCTTGCGCGGCACGTACCCACAGGGCTTCAAGGCTGGCGGCGTCGTCGTCGGCGTCAAGCCCAACAACACGACGAAGCCCGACCTGGCCATGATCGTGTCCGACGTGCCCTGCGCCGCCGCGGCCGTCTTCACCAAGAACCGGTTCCAGGCGGCGCCGGTGACGTTCAGCCGCGAGCTGCTGCGCAAAGCAGCGGCTGCCGACAAGCCGACGGTGCAGTCTGTGCTGATCAACTCGGGCTGCGCCAACGCCGTGACGGGCAAGGGCGGTCTCGAGGACGCGGAAGCCATGGCGAAGGCGTCGGACGCCTGCACAGGCACAGGCACTGGCGCCAGCTCGAGCTCGGGCACGATTGTCATGAGCACGGGCGTCATCGGCCAGCGGCTGCCGATCCAAAAGATTGTCAACGGCGTGCCCAAGGTGTTTCGCAGCCTCGGCGACTCGCACGACCACTGGCTGACGGCCGCCAGGGCCATCTGCACGACCGACACGTTCCCCAAGCTGCTGTCGCGCACGTTTACGCTGCCGTCGGCCCCCGCCGGCGTCGAGTACCGCATTGCCGGCATGACCAAGGGCGCCGGCATGATCCACCCCAACATGGCCACGCTGCTCGGCGTGCTGGCCACGGACGCGCCCCTCTCGCAGGCCGCCCTGCCGTCGCTGCTCAAGCACGCCATCGACCGCTCGTTCAACAGCATCACCATTGACGGCGACACCTCGACCAACGACACCGTGGCGCTGCTGGCCAACGGCGCCGCGGGGGGCCCCACCATCGCCAACGACCCGGCCTCGCCCGACTACCAGGCCGTCCAGACGATGCTGACCGACTTTGCGGCCGAGCTCGCCCAGCTCGTCGTCCGCGACGGCGAGGGCGCCACCAAGTTTGTCACCGTCCGCGTGACCGAGGCCGCCTCGGCGGCCGACGCCCGCCGCATTGCCAGCACCATTGCGCGGTCGCCGCTTGTCAAGACGGCACTGTACGGCAAGGACGCCAACTGGGGCCGCATCCTGTGCGCGACGGGCTACGCGCTGATCGGCGAACCAGGCGCCGACGAAGCGAGCACCACGCCGTCCATTGCGCCCAACCAGACCAACGTGTCCTTCCTGCCCACGGACGGCTCGGCGGAGCTCAAGCTGCTGGTGAACGGCGAGCCCGAGGCGGTCGACGAGACGCGTGCCGCCGAGATCCTGGAGCTGGAGGATCTGGAGATCCTGGTGCGGCTGGGCACCGGCAAGGAGGAGGCGACGTACTGGACATGCGACTTTAGCCACGAATATGTGTAAGTTGGCGCCGCTTTTATCTTTCTTCTTTCTTTCTCATTTTTGACTCTACTACGCATGGTACTAACTCGGACAGGACGATCAACGGCGACTACCGGACATGAGCATTGGACATGGATATCATGGTACAGATCAGCTCGGGCAAAACAAAGCTCGAGATGCAAAAGGCTACATACCAAAATATAATACATATAATATCAACACCTACACACAAAAGACATGAAGGCGACGTGGTCATGCTTCACTCCTCTGTAGTCAACAAACTCCACGGTTCGTGGTCATGGAAAGCACTGGGGGTAAGAGACTGGTCTCCCTCATACCCCTGACATTGTCATACTTTGTCGTTATATCTCGAACAAATATACCCAACACAGGTAGAAGCTTGGGGAGTAGTTTCAACACACAAACACACACAGTGACAATAACTACGGGCTAGCCGACAGATAAAATGCCTTGTTTACCAACCGCTCATTGCCGTCATATCAAGAAGCAATGTGTTAAGGAGGCAACCAGAGGAGGGGAGGTCGGACGAATGCGCTTGATTCAGGAACACCAGTCACCAAATATAGGGTCGAGACGGCATAACGAACTGTATTGACCCGCAGCCATTAATGTTGTCGTGTGGGAGTGGGAGAAAGGAAGACCGGTGGTGCTGTCCGCTTTCCTGGTCTGGACGCAATATCAACACTGGTACCGTCAAGACCAGCCCGCCATAATACGACAACTACAAGGCACCAGGTAAAGACGACAGATGGACGAGCTGACCGGCTAGATGCCAGTCGCTAGAGACAACAGAGTTTCCGGGACCGAGCCCGACTGTGCGCCGGCCGTTCCTTTGAGAGGGCTTCGGGAGCCTTTCTATCGTCTTTTCCGTACGGTCCCCACCAGGCAACAGATCCAGGCCGTCATCGCAGACACAATAATAGACCGTCGTTCTCGCGGAAAGGCTAATGCGCCTGTTACTTGCATGAAAGAAGAGGGGGCGAGAAGGGGAAACGACAAAGCGGAAATGGCAAGCGAGCCCAACAGCGTTTCTCTGCTCTCAGGCCATGTCTCGTTCATACTCTCATGCTCCATACTGGGGCAGTCGTGTTCGTTCGTGCAGTAGCTGGAAGGACGTGAGACAGCGATGGATATGGATATGTACGCGAATGGAGTCCTGTTTATTTCTCAGGAATTAATCTTCTTTTTGCCTCATCTTGGCGATGGAGTGCCTTGTATGCAGAGCACCGGGTGCGCACGGGGCAAGGAGAACAAAAGCCGAGCAACACAGAAGACAGCAATGGAGGGGCTGAGGAGGTGTGGGACGCGACGGGTAGGGAAAAGGTGACGATGCAAGGGGAGAAAAAAGGAGGGGCGTGCAGCCGCGAGCAAGTTCTAAAGTACGACATGCGACCGAGAGTTCGTTTGTTTTGGTGGCAAGTCAGGCATTCTGGCAAAGAGGCGGTGAGGAAGGCACGAAACTAGGTTGTGAACCGGAAGGCGCGATGGAGAAGGAGGGGTGTTGGAGAGGAGGGGACGAGGCAACCGCACTAAGCGTTCAGAACGCGGAAAGCAACGGGCAAGTTGCCGAGGGAAGGAGCCATTGGCTGCCAGTAAATAAATGACTCGTAAGCCAGGAAAGCCAACGCAGAAAACGGGTAACTTCTGTGATACTTGACGACCACAGAGTAATTAAGGGTACTGGCTTAACACAACTGCGGAAGCTAGGAAAATAGAACGCCTGCCGAAAGGGGCATATTAGTCGCTCCTTCTCCATGTTCCTTTCTTCCATATATTCTCATCTTGATTAACTTCGTGGGACGCCGATGCAGAAACGGGAAGGAGCATGGAAACAAGAAGGAGCGAGGAGACATACTAGAGGAAAGAAAAGGATAGGTAAATTAATTAGACACAAGCAAACTCAGGACTGGGCTGGCTTAATGTGTCGAAAACGGTGCTGGGACTCGTCCCCGTGCATGACAGGCGGCGTTCTGTATCACGGAAACTCTTCGGTGCATACAAAACACTCCACACTTGTCAATTTACGTGCAAGGCACAGGAGGCTGGAAAAGCGAACGTCATATTGAAAATCCCGCCTCCTGTATATAGACCCGCCTGTTGTTTTCTCGCAGCCGGTTTTGATGTGTTCTCGTCCCAGCGGCACAAAAGAGCTCTGTTCTCGGGTAACAACCCAGTAAGTATATTGTCATGGTTGTAATAAGGCCGTACGAGACCGCACAGACGCTTCTTTGCTTCCACAGACCAGATACACCAGAAACAGCCGTCACATATTACGTCGTACACACCCTCGAGACTCACACTCTCATATCCCCCTCTTCCCCGGCCCCGACCCCCCGTCAGCTCCGACAAACGTGGATGCGATATTAAAATTGTGTGTCCCATATATACACAAACTATACATAAGAGCGGGTGTACGAAACAAATGTATTTTGTGGCACGCGTACTTTGTATGCAAGTGTGTCTGTGTGTCTTTGTGAATGTGTGCGTGTTTATGCAGTGTTGCTCAATCTTGGTGGTACGGTATAAACTGGCGTGGCGAGAAGAGGAGATGGCTGACAACCGGACAGATTGAAGGGGGAGTGGGGCTAGAAAGAAAGGGAACTACAACTTAAATCAAAATCAGAAACCAAAAATCAAGGGCTGGCAAAGAATATGTGAACAAAATACAAGCAAGGTTGTACGAATGACGCCGTGGCATAAAGTGTACTTTGTAAACACGGTGACAAGGAAGCTTGATGCACCTGATGCAACGGACCTCTGGTTTGGAAACTTTTATGGTCGAGGAAACAAATAAAACTGCAAGCAGTCTTTTTTGTTGTTTTTAAAAAGGCGCTCCGTTATTCAGAATTGTAAAGTTCACACAAAGGGTCGTCACAGCCAGATAATGGCCCTCGGCTGCATGATGCATGCAACTGACGTCAATCTAGAAAC